ATTAAATATAAATTATTTATATTTATATTATATATAAATATAATATATATTATATAAACACATATATAAATATAATATAATATTATATATTATATGTCATATAATATATAATATAATATATGTTATATAATATAATATATTATATATTATAACACTGTGACCAAATGCTTGGGATACAAAGATGGGCCAATATATATAAATTATTGATTTGATAAAACTTAATAATAGATAAACTAAAAAAAGTCACATGCTACTCTCAACAGATGTAGGAAAACACCAGAAAAATTCAGGAAACCTGCTTAATCAAAACTTTCAACACATTCTCAACATGTTAACTGCCATGTATGGCAAAGTCCATGCTGTATGTCTGAAGAAAACAGGAACTTCCTCAACAAACGGTGCTGGAGAAACTGGATGGCCGCTGAGAGATTTTAACTAGAACTTTATCTCCCACACTACATGAAAATCAATTCCAAGGGATTCAAAGGCCTTCACGTAGGCCTGAAACAACTAATAAAAACATGCAAAAACAAGGGGAAACCCTTCTAGAGATGAGCATAGGCTACAGCTCTCTGAAAAGAACTTCCATCAATGACAGCGCAGTTGATGAGGTAATGAGGGTGGGGAAAATCTCAGGGGGCCTTACCCTGAGGAACTGCAGGAATTAAGGGAAAATGAAGACAAATAAACCCAGGGGTAAGTGCCCTAATTGGTTATCCAATACCAAGAGGCCAGCCCTAAAAACATATCCACATGAGCAACACTAAATGGATTCAGTCGGTTATATCTATAATTTATATTTACCTGCATATTATATATTACTAGTATACAATTATTATTATTAACTGTATGCTATATATTATTAGTATGCAATTAATAATATACATGTTCTTCCATACATTAATACAGAACAATAATCATTAAAGAAAAAAAGGCCACGGATTTGAGAAAGAGTGAGGCAGGGAAAATTATGTAATTATATTTCAATTAAAATCAAATAAAGTTTACAAACAAATTTAAAAAGAAAAGGCTAAAGCTCTCTCCTTTAAGATAAATGAGGAGATGAGAATGCACACTTCTGAGCAAATGAGCGGGTCTCTTGTGCCTTCTCTTGGGTGTTTTCTCTTCTGTTGGTTTGTCTTGTCCAACTTCAAAGTGATAGTTTTTGTTTGTACTCTATTTTAAACATGACAAGAAAGAATGCACACTCGCTCCATTTCTGGTGAACAGCAGAGGGTCATACAACCAAACCAGGAGGAAACAACTAAATTGTCTAGCTTTACAGAGGGCATGATCTAATGCAAGAATCACACAGTGAAAACCTTTTTTGCCAGAAATAAGTTAGAACCAATAAATGAATTCGTGAAGTTGTAGGACAAAACCTCAACATTAAAAATGTCATATACATTGGCCATTCAGGGACAGGCAGTGACTCCAGAACCTCAAGAAATTGAGACAAGGTGGAGGGATAGGTTGAGGTTTCTGGGAACCAACTGTTAACTCCCTTCTCCAGATGACAGCACCTAGGTATAGTGAGGCTGCCACCGAGTCCAAGGGCTCTCACTTGCCCTCCCCAACATACCCGAACCCCAAAGGAAACTGGGGGTTACACCATTCAGGCCAACAGAATAGTGCCAGAAACTTACCCTCCAAAGTAATTAGTATAAATTCCACTGGGGCAATGCATACCCCAAATCCCGTTCCATAGGTTTAAGTTGGAAAAAGACCAAGGGTACAGAACGCAGACCCGAACAAACCCACACAATCATGGCCACAACACTGTCAAAAACAGACAGCAGAGAAAAGATGTTGTCTGACAAATGGTGCTTGGGCAAGTGGACAGCTACCTGGAGAATTTAGCTTTCCTTGTCCCTTACCCCATGAGGGCTCAAACACCTTCACAGAAGTCTTGGAACCATTAAAACATACAAAAACAGGGGAAAGTACTTCTAGAGAAAGGCATAGGCTAAAACTGTTTGAAAAGGACTCCAATGGTTCAGCAAATGTTGCCAGGAACTGGTCAATGGCATTTCACAAGTATAAAGGTTTCTTCATAGCAATGGAAGCAATCAAGTAAAGAAATGTCCCGAAGTACGGGGACAATCTTTGTGAATGACACATCTAACCAAAGATCCGCACCTAGAATACACAAAGAACCAGCCAACCAACCAACAAACAAAACTAAACACCAAGAAGGGATACAGCTCAATGAATGTGCAAATAAAATAGTTCCCAAAGGATGAAAAACAAATAACCAATAAGCATATGAAAAAGTTCAACATCCTTAACCACCAGAAAAATGCAAATTTTAATTTAAATTCCATTTCTCAGCCCAAGGGTTGATCATTAATAATCCCTCCCATTAGAGCTCAGAGAAGGGGCAGAAGGAAGTTAACAGCCAGAGGGAGTGGCGGACACCAAGAAACAAGGTCCTCTAAATTAACGTGAGCAAAGCTCATATGAACTCACCGAGACTAAATCAGCATGCATAGAGTCTTCACAGATGTGCACCACATCCTTTGTGCTTATATTGTGGCTTCCAGTTTAGTGTTCTTATTGGACTTTTGAG